GTTTTTTTGAGTAGTATGTAGTGTCCTTCTTTAACCCTTTTGATTAACTTTAGGTTGAAGTCTATTTTATTTGATATGAGGATGGAAACCCCTCCTTGCTTCCGCAGTTCATGTGAGTGGTATGATTTTACCCAACATTTCACCTTCAGTCAGTAGTTGTCTTTTCCTATGAGATGAGTCTCTTGGAGGCAGCATACTGTTGGGTCTTTTTTTTTTTTTTTATCCAATATGCTAGTGTATATCTTTTGATTGCTGAGTTTAGTCACTAACATTCATGGTTATTATTGAGACATGATTTGTATTCCCAGTCATTTTTGTTTATTTTTGGTATTTAACTTGACTTGGTATCTTCTCTGATTAGTTTTTACTTTAGTGTAATACCTCCCTCTGCTGATTTTCATCATTGTTTTTCATTTCCTATTCATGGAATATTTTACCGAAGATGTCCTGTAGTGCAGGCTTTCCAGTTGTAAATTCTTTTAACTTTTGTTTATCATGGAAGGTTTATTTCATCCTCAAATCTAAAGCTTAATTTTGCTGGATATAAGATTCTTGGTTGGCATCCATTTTCTTTCAGAGCTTGGTATATGTTGTTCCATGTTCTCCTGTCTGGGTTGAAACATTTGCTGAGGTACAAATTGGTCTCCCCCTATATGTGATTCCTCTCTCTTGCACCTTTTAAGATTCTTTCTTTATTCTGTATGCTAGGCATTTTCATTATAATGTGCCTTGATGTAGATCTGTTGTAATTTTGTACATTTGGTGTCCTGTAAGCCTCTTGTATTCGGTTTTCCAATTCATGCTTCATTCTTGGGAATTTATTATCTCATTGAAGAGATTATGCATTCCTTAGGCTTGAAACACTGTGCCTCCCTCTATCCCAATAACTCTTATATTTGGTCTTTTGATGCTATCCCATAATTCTTGGATGTTCTGTTCATGCTTTCTTACTATCTTCACTGTGTGGTCAACTTTATTTTCCAGACCGTATACTTTATCTTCATTATCTGACACTTTTTCTTCCAATGATTTAGTCTGTTGGTTATGCTTTCTATTGAGTTTTTATTTGGTTTATTGTTTTCTTAATTTCAAGGATTTCTGACTGTTTTTTTTTTCAGAGTCTCTGTCTCATTCTTGAAGTGATCTTTTGCTACCTATGTATGCTCTCCTATCTCTTTGTTGGAGTGATCAATTTTTGCCTGTATTTGCTCATTCAGGTCATTCTTTAATTCACAGATCATTTTAATTATGAACCTTCTGAAGTCCTTCTCTGACATTTCATCAACATTGCTATCCATGGGTTCTGTTATTGTGGTGTCCTGGTTTGTTTGGGGTACTTTTCTCCCTTGTTTTTTATGTTGTCTCTGTGTCTTCCTTTCTTGCAGTGTGGATCTCATATATTATAGTTTCTACCCTACATTCTTGTAGTTTCCCTGCAGATTATCTGTACCTTACCATGATGTTGAGCTTCCAGATCCTGCTGGTGCCCCTCAATATATGCTACTGCAACTAAAGGTGGTGGTGGCAATAGCTGAGGTAACTTGATATAATAGTGAAGGTGCCCCAAGGAGGATGCAGTGTCTTACAGAGATGGGGCTGAAAGGGTGGGCTTTACACTGTCTTTGGCATGCCTGCTCTAAGATGCAGCTGCCTCTATAGTCCCTGTCTACTGTTAAAAAAGATAGGGGCTACTGCGTGGGGAAAGCTATGGTGATGCCTGCAGTGTCCCAAGATGGAAGTGGGTTAGGCTTGGGCTGCCAGGTGTGTGAGGGAGGCGGTGGTGAACTAAGACCTACCCTGGGCCTGGATCCCACATATATTGGTGTGGGTGGATCTAGGCTGGGCTTGAGCTCCTGCGGTGGTCTGCTGGTCTGAAGAGGTAGTACTGTGTCGGAGGAGCTCAGGCAGGTGTCTCTGATGGCAGGATGGACCAGTGACTACTGTGAGCCTGGGTCCCTCACAGGTCAGTGTGGGCAGATCTGGGCCAGGCCTGAGCTCCCGTGGTATTCTCTGGTTATTCTATTTTATTAATGAGGAAATTGAGATATAGACATAGCAGTGCTGAAATTTTGAATGAAATCTGACCAACTCAACACAGGTATTTTAATGCTTAGAGTGATGTCGCAGTGTGGCTGGGCACAAAATCACGAGCCACTCAAGCAGGAACAAACTTTATTTTTTGAAACTGCCGCCAATGTTCTGTACGGGTCCGGGAAGATGGCGGATCCACACAGGCTGCGTTCTCCCAGTACCGCCAGAGGAAGTTCCTCCCCCGGAACTCCCTCCTACTGTACTTCCCCAACCAATGGGAACTCTCCAGGAGTCCTGTAGCAGGCCAAGGTGAACAGCAGGAGTCCAATATCCATATGAATGCAAATCCTAACATAATCATATCATCTCAATGGCTAGCTGGCATCACCTTTCAACCAAAAATGCCATGCATCATATACTTGGCTCTTAGCATTAATGGGTGGGTTTCCTAATTTCCTAATCCTAATTTCTCAAGGGACTAGTAATACTACTGTATTTCTGTTCTTCCATCCAATCTACAGATATGAGTAAGGCAACTTTTTAAAAAATCTCTTTTTGAGTGCAGAGTAAACTGAGTCATGGTAATCTTTTGAGTTTCTATGGTTGTTGCAGTGATTTTAGGGTGTGATTAGCTTGGAATATGTTTATACCTTATAAAGACTGCTGAAAATTTCCTTGTTTTCTGTTTAATGCTATTATAGCATAGGAGAACATAAACATGATGTAGAATTCTTTTGTATTTTTTCTCCATGTGACTGGAATGTATTAGAGCTTACATGTGAAAATTCATTCAAAATCAGATTTCATTTATGTCCCATTACCAATTAGCCTTTTATCAATGTCAATTGACCTAATTTGGCTAGGAAAGGAATGGGAAAGGGGGCTGATGATTGGCCTTAGCTGGATCAATAGTGATCTACAAAATAAAAGCAGTCTTTTAAATTTGTTTGACTCTTTTCTATTGGCGTACCCAAATATAAGGTTTTGTGAATGTCTAGATATAGGCCTGTATATTTCCTAATTGTATAGAGCATAAAGGAAGGTAGTTATAAAGATGGTGGAACAAATCTCTCATAATTAGAAGATTTTCTTTAGACTAGTATTAGAAATTATTTGCATTTCACACTCAAACTAGGGAGGCAGCCTTGCATGGTGGTCTCTGGAATCAGAATTGTTGATTTAGATTCTGATTTCCCACTAACTAGCTGTGTGTCCTTCCACTAGTGACTTTAACACTTTGTGTCTCACTTTTTCTCTACTTTATTGTAGGAATTATAATTTCAACCCTATAGAGTTTTGAACATTATAAAATAAAAATCACTTTATTCTGTAATCCCCAGAAAGTGTTTATTCATAGGCCAGGAAATTGGCCATTGTCATAAGTGCTCAGTTTCATTAGATGTGGAATGGGAAAAATAGTATCTCATCTCATAGATGTAAAGCAGGTGTAAGTTGCTTGGCAAATAAAAAGGAATTAGTAAATTGTAATTGTTTGGTTAAGAGAAGGGAAGGGGACATGAAGAAGAAAATGAGAAAAAAAATTTGAAAGAAGTATTCTGAGAAAAATAATACTTGAAATTATGATTTCCCATTGCCTTTTCCTTAGTTTGTTCTTTCTTTAGATTTTCTAAGTTTTTAGAAGTTTTAATGTGTCAGTATTTAAACTGAAGGTCTCTCTTCTGTCTACCTAAGAACAGGGGGACAAAGTGCTAGTAAAAGTGCTGGTATGAAGAACACTTCTTTCATAAATGAATTTTACATCATAAATAAGGAATATAGAAAACTTACCATTGTTGTCATCAACTCAACATAAAGGCAACTCAACATACATTCTCCTAGCATTTCCTCAGCTCAAGAATCATTTGATAGACTTAAATTCTGAATAGGCTGATGAATGAATGAATGATCTATCAATAAAAGAAAATGCAAAGGAAAAAAAGAGGAACTTTGTCTCACTTTTTCTACCTAGTTCTACACCGGGTTTCCTTTTTTATCCCTTGAAGTCTCTATCAGCTTTCCTTGAGCAAATCTTGTTTTAAATTAAGAATACAATGTTGTACATTCCAAATTAATTTGCTTTGTATCTAAATAAGTTTGGGCTGCTAAAATAGAATGCCATATAGTTCTGGAGGCTGAATGTCTGAGGTCAGCATGCTTTCATGGTCGGATTTAGGAGAGGGCTTTCTTCCAGGTTACAGATTACTAACTTTCTGTATCCTTACAAGGTAGAAAGGATAATTATTTGGTCTTTTATAAGGGCATTAAAACTTTTAATGAGGGCTTTACCCACATGACCTACTTACCACCCCAAAGACTCACCTCTTAATATGCTATGTATCCTTAGTATACATGTATTAGTCATGATCATTAGGATTAGGATTTTCACATGTAAATTTGGAGGCACACAAACATTCAGTCCATAGCACCATTCAAGTTCATTCTGTGAATTTCAGGTAGACCTATATCATAATAAAGGTGTTTATTATTTAACACCTATTTACTTAGACATGCTGTAAGATTATTTTTATCTTAGGAAAGAAGAGATTGGTTTTTGAGGTTCACTGCCTCTCTTAGTCTTCTGGGACTCATGTTCAGACTGTTAAGGAGTCTTGCAGTGTGTTGGAAACCTGAAGGAATTTAATCCAAAATGATACTGATTATTAAAAATACACCAGCTCCTTATCTCAAATAAATGTAGCACTAGATTTTTCCATTCCAAATTTATCATTATTAATTATCAGCATCTCATTCAGGACCCTAAACTAAACTGTCTCCTATTTTTATTTAGCAATTTTGGTTCATTTTCTTTCAAACAGTTGATTTCAGTCAGATAAGAAATATTCAAGATTCAATAATTTAATGTGGAAAAGTTCTTTCCAAACTTAGCAATTATAAATGCACCAAATTTGTTTCTTTTGGACTCCATTGGCTTGGTTATATTGTTTTATTTATTTTATTTCTCATTTCAGGGAATTCCAGGAGGGACTGGTAATATTGGTTCACCTGGTTACCCTGGCAGGCAGGTGCAGTAACTATATTTACATTCCTCCTTTTATATTTCTCTTGGTGAATACATTGTATGTTTTGATTTTGAGAGTTAATGTTCAAATAACAGTAGGTTTACTTTTATTAAATAATGAAAGAGAAATAATTTAAAAATCAAAGTTGTAAATTTTTTTCAAAAATTTTACTTTGAAAGTTTTGTTTGAAATGGGAGTGGGGCTTTTAAACATGTTTAATGTGATTATGCAGTGGAACCTTCAAAATTAAAATGCCCAAGAGTCTAATAAGTTCTTAAAACAGCTTCATGCCATTGACCAAAATGAAGTAAAAGAAAGAGTTTTTAGTTTTAAGACTGTCCATTATAAGCATTATTTTTTAATAACACACTTACAAAAACCTGGGAAATAGTTGCCACTATCAAATACTTTTATCTAAATTGAATTCAGTTCTTTTGTTATACTGCTTTGAAAATTTATTTAATCATTTCATATGTATTTTCCTCTAATTTCATAACTTTCCCTAACTTCTTAATGTGACTAATAATAGAGCAAGTTTTCCTTCCTAGGCTTTCAAGAACTGATTATTTCTAAAATTAATTAATTAAATGTTGAAGTCTGCATTTGTTATCTTTTTTGTATTCTTAGGAATGAAGGGAATAATAAATCTAAAAAACAATCTATTTTAACAAAGTCCATTGTTATGCCTTCAAAAATAACTAGAGGTATTATACATTATACTGCTATGATTAAGAGATGATATATGTTGTCTGAGAAATATAAAATATGAATACTTCAGCATATGGACATTGATTTAAAATTTAAAATGTATTTATCTTTTAAAATGTATGGGGATATCTTTTAGAGTAAGTTAACTTGAAGTGTTTTAAAACAATATAGAAATGAGAAATATTTCAGTGAAAAAATTTTTATCTGATAATATATATTAATGTATTATATTTAGATAACTAAAATATATTTGTGTATACATTATATTCAAAGAATCTTTTGGTACTGACATTCCTTGCACATTTGTAATTTTCATTAGAGTTTTCTAAATAGAAAGTTTGAATTTGATAATATTTAAATGATAGCTGTTTATATTTTTATTAATCTTTTTGTTAATAAGTTTTTAAAAGCATTATAGTATGATGACAATGTCTTTTGTTCACACTAGGGTTTAGCTGGACCAGAAGGTAATCCAGGTCCTAAAGGTATACGAGTAAGTAAGCATTTTCATCATTTTGTTAAGTGTGTTTAACTAAATGTAAAACAAAATACACCAAGTATTTACCATTTTTCTGCCTTATTTTAGGAGATCTGAATTTAATACAAGCTTAGTCTGAAAAGAATATGCTTACTGTTTCGCTTTTATGCCACAGAAAAGAGTCTGATAGTACTAGGTTTTGCAGTGTTATTTTCTATTAATTTCCAGTTCTTATCCTAATGTCTGACATGTTAGAATGTGCTTTATAAACATTTGTACTATTGTGTATACATGAACATACACAAAACTAAAAGTCATCATGAAAAAAATTGAAAAGTTGGAGAGAATCTTAGTAGTTCAAGGTGAAAGTAAGTTTACCTTGAAAAAATTGTAAGGGGTAAGGAAACATCTATAAAGAAGGAAATAAGCTTATTATATTTTGAACATCCCATCTACTTCCAAACCATTAAATGAAATGTTAGCCACGTTTAATCATTAAGAGAGTACATGTTATTATGATATATGTTGGGTGCTACAACTTAAAATCAAAGATGGTTCTATGATAATTAAAAAATAAATTAAATTTTTGTCTTTAAAAATTCTTTATTTTAAATAGCCAGGTATTTTCCTAAGCCTACTTATTTTTCTTTTATTATCAATACTGCATTTTAGAAATAAGCATAAAGCCTTTAAATAATGATGTTTTACATCTACAAAAATATTAAACTTTTTCAAATACTTTTATATGTGTTTTAATCTTTATTTTTCTATCAGCCCTGCAAAGTAGGAGAACAGAACTACCATCCATATTTTACAAGGGAAAAATAGCTTGCTAAGGAGCTTAACTTTGGCAGTTATTGCTTACTAGACCTGGAGCCAAGCTACCTTTATCTCTGTTGTTTCCACTATACCAATTTATTTATTCTTGCAATATATAAAAATATAATGGGGAAATTTATGTATTTTTTAGTAAAAATTGAACTGAAATCACATGGCTAGTTGGATTTGGGAAGCAAGAAGGGATTTGTGATTAAGAACATGGGCTGTAGAGTTAGGCTACGTGTTTTTTTGATAATCCTTTTTCTACTAGCTTTGTGTTTTCAGATGTCATTCAGCCCTTCTGTGCTTCATTTTTCTTAGGAATTTATAATAATGAAACTTAGTTGTAAGAATTAAATAAGATTAGCATTCTTAAATAAAGCCCAGTGCCTAGCACAGGGCATGCACTTCCTATGTACATTCTATATTGATTATTTGTTTTTTGGTTTTTTTTGGTCCTCTTTTATTTTTTTTATTGGTTGTTCAAAACATTACAAAGCTCTTGACATATCATATTTCATACATTAGATTCAAGTGGGTTATGAACTCCCATTTTTACCCCAAATACAGATTGCAGAATCACATCGGTTACACATCCACATTTTTACATAATGCCATATTAGCAACTGTTGTATTCTGCTACCTTTCCTATCCTCTAATATCCCCCCTCCCCTCCCCTCCCCTCCCATCTTCTCTCTCTACCCCATCTACTGTAATTCATTTCTCTCCTTGTTTTTTTCCCATTCCCTTCACAACCTCTTATATGTAATTTTGTGTAACAATGAGGGTCTCCTTCCATTTCCATGCAATTTCCCTTCTCTCTCCCTTTCCCTCCTACCTCATGTCTCTGTTTAATGTTAATCTTTTCCTCTTGCTCTTCCTCCCTGCTCTGTTCTTAGTTGCTCTCATTATATCAAAGAAGACATTTGGCATTTGATTTTTAGGGATTGGCTAGCTTCATTTAGCATAATCTGCTCTAATGCCATCCATTTCCCTGCAAATTCCATGATTTTGTCATTTTTTGGTGCTGCATAATACTGCATTGTGTATAACTGCCACATTTTTTTTTATCCATTCATCTATTGAAGGGCATCTGGGTTGGTTCCACAGTCTAGCTATTGTGAATTGTGCTGCTATGAACATCGATGTGGCAGTATCCCTGTAGTACACTCTTTTAAGGTCTTCAGGGAATAGTCCGAGAAGGGCAATAGCTGGGTCAAATGGTGGTTCCATTCCCAGCTTTCGCAGGAATCTCCATACTGCTTTCCAAATTGGCTGCACCAATTTGCAGTCCCACCAGCAATGTACAAGAGTACCCTTTTCCCCACATCCTCGCCAGCACTTGTTGTTGTTTGACTTCATAATGGCTGCCAATCTTACTGGAGTGAGATGGTATCTTAGGGTGGTTTTGATTTGCCTTTCTCTGACTGCTAGAGATGGTGAGCATTTTTTCATGTACTTGTTGATTGATTGTATGTCCTCCTCTGAGAAGTGTCTGTTCAGGTCCTTGGCCCATTTGTTGATTGGGTTATTTGTTATCTTATTGTTTAATTTTTTGAGTTCTTTGTATACTCTGGATATTAGGGCTCTATCTGAAGTGTGAGGAGTAAAAATTTGTTCCCATGATGTAGGCTCCCTATTTACCTCTCTTATTGTTTCTCTTGCTGAGAAAAAACTTTGTAGTTTAATTAAGTCCCATTTGTTGATTCTTGTTATTAACTCTTGTGCTATGGGTGTCCTATTAAGGAATTTGGAGCCCGACCCCACAATATGTAGATTGGAACCAACTTTTTCTTCTATCAGGCGCAGAGTCTCTGATTTGATATCAAGCTCCTTGATCCATTTTGAGTTAACTTTTGTGCATGTTGAGAGAAGAGGATTCAGTTTCATTTTGTTACATATGGATTTCCAGTTTTCCCAGCACCATTTGTTGAAGATGCTATCCTTCCTCCATTGCATGCTTTTAGCCCCTTTATCAAATATAAGATAGTTGTAACTTTGTGGATTAGTCTCTGTGTCCTCTATTCTGTACCATTGGTCCACCCGCCTGTTTTGGTACCAGTACCATGCTGTTTTTGTTACTATTGCTCTGTAGTATAGTTTGAAATCTGGTATCGCTATACTGCCTGATTCACACTTCCTGCTTAGAGTTGCTTTTGCTATTCTGGGTCTTTTATTTTTCCATATGAATTTCATGATTGCTTTATCTATTTCTACAATAAATGCCATTGGGATTTTGATTGGCATTGCATTAAACCTATAGAGAACTTTTGGTAATATCGCCATTTTGATGATGTTAGTTCTGCCTATCCATGAACAGGGTATATTTTTCCATCTTCTAAGATCTTCTTCTATTTCTCTCTTTAGGGTTCTGTAGTTTTCATTGTATAAATCTTTCACCTCTTTTGTTAGGTTGATTCCCAAATATTTTATTTTTTTTGAGGATTTTGTGAATGGAGTGGTTGTCCTCATTTCCATTTCAGAGGATTTGCCGCTGATATACAGGAATGCCTTTGATTTATGCGTGTTGATTTTATATCCTGCCACATTGCTGAATTCATTTATTAGTTCTAGTAGTTTCTTTGTAGACCCTTTTGGGTCTTCTAGGTATAGAATCATGTGATTTGCAAATAGTGATAATTTAATTTCTTCTTTTCCTATTTTTATGCCTTTAATTTCTTTTGTCTGTCTAATTGCTCTGGCCAGTGTTTCGAGAACTATATTGAATAGAAGTGTTGATAGAGGGCATCCCTGTCATGTTCCAGATTTTAGAGGGAATGCCTTCAATTTTTCTCCATTCAGAATGATGCTAGCCTGAGTTTTAGCATAGATAGCTTTTACAATGTTAAGTTCCTGTTATCCCTAGTTTTTCTTATGTTTTGAACATAAAGGGATGCTGTACTTTGTCGAATGCTTTTTCTGCGTCTATCGAGATGATCATATGGTTCTTATCTTTGAGTCTATTGATGTGGTGAATAACATTTATTGATTTCTGTATATTGAACCATCCTTGCATCCCAGGGTTGAATCCTACTTGATCATGGTGCACAATTTTTTTGATGTGTTTTTGTATCCGATTCACCAAAATTTTATTGAGGATTTTTGCATCTAGGTTCATTAGAGATATTAGTCTGTAGTTTCCTTTCTTTGAGATATCTTTGTCTGGTTTCAGAATCAGGGTGATGTTGGCCTCATAGAATGAATTTGGAAGAGCTCCCTCTTTTTCTATTTCCTGAAATAACTTGAAAAGTATTGGTATTAATTCTTCTTTAAAGGTTTTGTAAAACTCCGCTGTATACCCATCCGGTCCTGGGCTTTTCTTGGTTGGTAGTCTTTTGATTGCTTCTTCTATTTCATCCATTGATATAGGTCTGTTCAAATTGTGTGTATCCTCCTGACTGAGTTTGGGCAAATCATATGACTTAAGAAATTTATCGATGTCTTCACTATCTTCTATTTTATTGGAATATAGGTTTTCAAAATAATTTCTAATTGTCTTCTGTATTTCTGTAGCATCTGTTGTGATATTGCCTTTTTCATCCCGTATGTTAGCAATTTGAGTTCTCTCTCTTCTTCTCTTCATTAGCATGGCTAAGAGTCTGTTGATCTTATTTATTTTTTCGAAGTGCCAACTTTTAGTTTTGTCAATTTTTTCAATAGTTTCTTTTGTTTCAATTTCGTTGATTTCCGCTCTGATTTTAATTATTTCTTGCCTTCTGCTACATTTGCTGTTGTTTTGCTCTTCCTTTTCTAGGGCTTTGAGATGAAGTGTGAGCTCATTTATTTGTTGGTTTTTTCTTTTTTTGAGGAATGACCTCCAGGCGATGAATTTCCCTCTTAAAACTGTTTTCATTGTGTCCCATAGATTCCGATATGTTGTGTCTGTATTTTCATTTATCTCTAAGAATTTTTTGATTTCCTCCTTTATGTCTTCTGTAACCCATTGATCATTCAGTAACATATTGTTCATTTTCCATGTGATTTAGGGTTTTTCCTTCCTTCTTTTATCATTGATTTCCAGTTTCATTCCATTATGATCAGATAAAATGCATGGTATTATCTCTACCCCTTTATATTTACTGAGGGTTGCCCTATGGCATAATATATGGTCTATTTTTGAAAAGGATCCATGTGCTACTGAGAAAAAAGTATATCCACTTGATGATGGTTGATATATTCTATATATGTCAGTTAAG